GATCATGATGATGGTAAGTAATGGAATGAATTTTAATGTGTGCTCTGGGAAAGTAGCTGTAATACCTTACAGTCACTGCTCTACAAATACTCTCGCCACTTAGAATGAGAGATCTTCCCACTCTCAAATCTAGACTCTCAGGGTTAACGATATACCGTTATCTATATATTTGACGGCCCATCACTGAACACATATACCTGTTTCCCGCCCCACAGTACTGTATTGCATTCAGTCGTCTTTTTCAGTCACCCTCTTTTAATTCTATGTATTATCTGTTAAACATACTCTAAAACTGACCTCTTCAATTTCCTCTAATTCTAATGACTTTTTAATATCAGTCCCCTATTTTCTACTAATACCTCCACCACCTCCATGACTACCCAGCACATAATTGAAATTAGTACTGTGCTTTCCTGATTAATACATTTAATCTTCTCAACTCATAGATGATCTAACTTGCCCAAGGTCACTCGGCTAATAAGAGACACACATGCACACTGGGCTCCAGACATGAGGACTATTTGCCAGTATTCTCTCCCTTTGTATACCTGGATACTGTGTTGGGAACTCACCCTCTCCACTCCCAATGCTTTTTCACCTGCCAAATTCCTGTTGGTCCTTTGGGCTCAACTCAAGGGTCACCTCCTCCATGAATCTTCTCAGGTTTTCTCTACTCTCTCTCCCGCCTGGGTCAGGTGCCTCTGCCATGAGCTTCGTCCCGTCCCTGCTTTCACTGAAATGTGATTGCCAGCTGACTCCTCTATCTCCCTTACTAGGCTGTAGGCTCCTCCAGAGCAGGGTAGGGTTTGGGTCTTGTCTTGGGATTCCCAGTACTACCACAGGGCATGGCACACGGCATATACACAACAAATGCTTGCTGAATACTGAGTAACAACCCCACTTTTCTGAGTTGGTCAAAGCCCTGGTAAGAGAAGTCATCTGGCTTAGCAGAAGAGACTTCTCATCATGAGCAATGTCATTTTCTTAGCTTTTCATGAACTCATGCTCCCTCACTAGGTGTACCTTGGGACAGTTACTATTAGTTGAGGAACGACCACTTCTCAAACACTGAGATGTATGCTTTGTGCATGTTATGCTTATGCTGACAACATTGTCAAGTAGACATCATCCTCATTTTATGGATGAAGCTCAAAATCAGTTATCCTAATTAACAGGTCTACAGTCATATAGAAGGAAGGCTCTGTTTTAAAAGCATGTATAAAATGCCCTATCATGTATAGTCATCCCTGTCCTGGAGAGATTCATTAGTATTTGAAATTACACACACACACACACACACACACACACAGAGCATTAATTTGGATGCTAGAGTAGTGAAAGCATGGTCAATGAGGACTTATAGAGGTTCAAGGCAGTTCCACCTTATCCATCATCCAGGGCAAATCATGCCTGTAGTCTTAATTTTCTTATCAGATATATAGGGATTATAATATTTACTTCCCTCAAAGGGGGTTGAATACCAAAGATCATGTTTGCCAAAGTGCTTTGTTAAGGAGGAAGGCAGAGGCCCATCTTAGAGCACTACGCTGGATAGAGTGTGGTGCAGTGTTTCTCAAAGAGCCGTGGAAGGACCCCAGGCATCAGTGCCACCTGAGTGTTAACAGCAGACGGGAGAAGCCAGGCTGGGAATCCACACCTAACAAGCCCCCAAATGATTTTATTGTACACAAAAGTTTGATAAATACCAGGTTAGAACAATGCTTCTCAAAACATTAATGTACACATGAATCACTTGGGGATCTTGTTAAGACGCAGATTGGAATTCAGTGGGTCTGGGGGTCATAAGAGCAGGTTGAGATCCCACATGTCTAACAAGCCCACAGGGGAAGCAAGTGTTGCTGGTCTACGGATCACATTTGAGTGGCAGGGGTTTGGAAGATCTAGCCCCACTGGAACAAATTAGCTTTGCTTTGTTCAGGACTACAGACTGCATTCCCCAACTTCAAGGAGTATTCCAGAAAACCCAAGCTCTCAGTATTGGGTCAAAATCTCTTGAACTACTCAAAATCAAATGGGAACACATTCCCTATCACAGGGGAAAAGTAGTAGCATCCTTTTCAGATACCGACAGCACATATGTTTAACATGTGAAAGAATAATTTACTGCTACTATTAAGTCCTATTTACTGTGCAAAGCATTTTATAAATATTATCTCTAATCCCTGCCACAACCCCACAAGGTGGATATTCTTGCTCTATAGATAAGGAAATGATGACGTAGAGAACATAAGTAACTTGCTAAAGGTCACATGGCTAGTTAGATGTTGCAGCTGGGGTTCCAATCCCACTCTACTGGGATCTAAAGCCTGTATGCCCTCCGCACATCCTCCAGGGGGCTAAACATGATTGTGGGACAGAAAATGACAGCTTAGGAAATAAAACGGGGAAAACAAGTTTCTCCTGTACCAGTCATTGAGTTGAAGACTCTGCTGAGGCAGATTCTTGATGGGGATGAGCATGTGGATAAGGTTAATTAATTAGTGATCTGTGTTGCCTCCTGGACAAAAGCATGCAGACAGCATTCTTATCCATGGTTCCCATAAATCTGACAATGCAGATGGAATAAAAAGTGACCAATGCACTGATCCTAAATGTTGCCACCTACTCGCAGGCTTCTAGCTCAGGAGCTCAACCAATAAAGAGGAAAAACGCTTCCTGATCCTTGTGGTTCATCAACTTCCTCACCTTCTCCTGTACGAGGTTTCCGTAACCTTCAAGTTTACACAACACAGTTTACCCTACCGTGTCATTTCACAGTTGCCACACCTCCCTGCCTCTGATAAAACTGCCTGTACCTGAAAAAACATACTGTTTAGTTAAATACATTAAAAATGCAGCAATTTTGAAGGTTTTCTTTTGAGTAACAAAATTTTCGGTATTTCTCATAAAGTTGACATGGAAAGAAATGCATGGCAATAAAGATGCCCAGAGAAAGGTCAGATAGACACTCAAGTGTACCCAACTGGGGAAAGACAGCTGTAAAATAAACTGCCCAGGTATCTACCATCCAGTATCTTGAGCATTTAATGACCCATGGGTGGAGTATCCACAGTCAGTTTCTTTAACCTCAGGTCTCTCGTACTCTGTTGTTTTCTAAAGATTCATCTTTAATAACTACAACTATTTACCTATCTAATGCAAAAAGACACAATTAGAAAGCACCATCTCCCTGCAATTAAATATATACATGGCAGTCGAAAACCAAACAGTGATATTTGGACTGTTAAGGATTATAAACTGATTTTGCCCCTATGGTATTCTCTACACATGATGTTTCAAAAATAAAGACTGAAGCCTAAAAAGAAACTGGTTTCAAAACCCACTTAAAAGTATTTTTAGAATGTGTGTGTGTTTTAAACAGGAGGTAGGAAACTGAGCCTGGAGCCTTGATTTCAAACTAATAAGCCTTTGCTATTTCGCTCCCCAACCCCCAGAACAGTTCAGATCTCAGAAAATCTAAACTAAAGGTCCGCAGAAACCAATTTGAGATTTTTCTGGATACTTTACTGAAATGTTTGGACAAGAACATGTTTGCAATGAGTCATAATTTATAGGACCTTAATGGCCAATGCCTTATGTGCCTGTCGTCCTACATTCAATATCATTCTCAAACCAGCTGGTGATATATTTTCCAGGCCCTGATAATTTTTATAAAGTTACCAGATCTCAATTACTAAGGCTGCCACCCAGCACCCTTTCTCATGCCGATTTTTTATTCTATCCAAACAGAAGAGAATCTGATCCTCTTTCTAAACTATAACTCTCTCCAACCAGGCAGTTAATGCCTTTCGCCAGTGAAAGGGCGCAGTACTTTTAAGACCCCCAAAGAGAAGCTGAGGGGCCTTGGGGGCACTCCAAGTAAAAAGACAGTGGGAAAGGTTAATGGGGAGCCGCTCTCGGCAAAGGCAGACATCATAACAGGATATGTTCGTTTCTAAAGGAAGCAGGAGCTGCAACAGCCCCAGGGCAGGAAAGGCGGAGTCAGAGCACCCAAAGGAAACGGGCGCACCAGGCTTTGCAGGCACCTGGCCTGCTTAGGGACTCGTGCTCCAGTCGGGTCCGAGGGTGGTGAGCAGGTGTGCGCGGGAGACCAAGCTCAGGCCTCTTGGCACTAGTGGTTTTGAAGAGGTACCCATATGCTCCCTGCCACCTCCGCCAAGATGGGCAACGGGGAGAAGAGAAACAGCAAACACCAGGCGCCTCGGCAGGTGAACTTGTGAACAAGTCAGCCCTGGACGCAAGTCCCTGCCTAGAAGGGACCTCGTGGTCCCGGGGCCGGAGCCGCTGGGAAGGCGAGGCACAGAGTGGGTGCGGTGGGGTGGCGTGCGTGGGGGCGCTGGGGCTGGAGATGCGGCCAGAGCCGGGCACGCTTCCCTCCCGCTCCCCCGGGGCTGACGCACGCCCTCAGGGCGCGCGCATCCTCCAGACCTTCCCAGGCCCCAGGGAGGAGGCGGGGGAGGGGACGGGGCTGTCGCGGTTCCCGATCAGCGGCAGGAGGCGGCTACCCGCCTGTCCCCCGCCGCCCGCGGAGGGCAGAGTTGGCAGCCCCAGGCCGGCGCCCCCGACCGCCCTGGCTGCCGGGCGTCTCCCGCTGCAGCCTGCAGCCCGCCCGGCGCGCCCCCGCCCCGGCCCCGGAGGGCAGGTACCTCGGAGCCCCGGCCCCCAGGAGCCTCCCGGCCGCGGTCGGAGCGTCCCTCCAGCTCCCTCATCCGACGTCAGCGTCAGCAGAAGGCGAGGCAAGGGGGCGGGGGAGCACAGGAACCGGCCCTTCCTGCGGCGGCCGCCGCCAGCCGGAATAGCAGCCGGCGGAGCCTGTGCGCGCCGCAGCGCAGCGCAGCGGCCGGGGGGAGCGGGCGCCCTCGCCTCTCCGCGAGCGCCCGCGGCCGGGGCGCCACAGCCGCCTTCCCTCCCCACCCTCCCCTCTGGAGACGCCCGGCGGGACCCCGGGACCCGGAGGAGGAAGGGGGCCATGGCCTCACCTTGTTTGGGGCGGGCCTGAGATGGGGGGAGTGAGTCTCTCTCTCTACTCCCTGGGGTCTTTCCTGGACCCCCATCTCCTGGGGTATCCCCCCGCTCGCATCTGCCGCCCAGGGTGACCCCGCCCTGCTCTCCCGCAGGTGTTCCACGTGTCCATAGCATTTGCGTCACAATGACCTGGCCGACAGGTGGGAGCCGCAGCGAACGCCCCAGGTTCCCTCTGTGCTGTACGTAGTGCGTGCTGCTTGCTTCCACTATAAATTTCTGTGGCTTTAGGGGACAGGAGACTTCATGACTTCCATGCCAAGAAAAGTTACAGAGGCCTGTAGCTGGAAATCAAGTTGGGGCTTAAAGGAAAAAGGCTATGTATATATTTCATTCCCATATATTGATGTATCTTTTATACTTGTTGTTGACGCTTATGGTAATTTAATCTTCTGTCACCAGGAAAGAACCAAACCCCTGTTTCTAGGGTACCCTGCAGTGATCACGGGAAGAAAAAGTGTTGGAATAGGTGCTTCCTAAAATTATCTATGCTAAAAGCAATCCCAGTGTGCCATGACTCAATTCCTGGTTATGTTATGTATTTATAAATAAGTTCATTGAATAGTCAGTGGTTGAAACAATTTAACACAGTGGAGTGAAAAATGGTTATTGAGTAACGATGCAGACAAATCTGAAATCCACAGCTAACATGAATGGGCTGCTTGCTATGTACCAGACATGCTGTATGCTCTACATTTAATCCTTACAGCAACCCGGTACTGTAGGTAAAGTTATTATCTCTTTTTTACAGGTGAAGATGCTGCCCAGAGTGCCATAAAGGCATTCAGCTAACAGGGTATTGAGCAGGGGTTTGAATCCAGGGTTGTCTGAACCAAGCGATTTAGTTTAATCTCAAGATTGAAAGGTGCCTGGCCAAGATGGGTAGAGAAAAAGTATAGAAGATGCTGACATTTTAATAGAAAGCTAATAAGATGATACAGCTCCAGAAATTTATGTAACCTTTAACTTTGACATTATTCTTTGGGGATTCTGTTTTGTCATAGATAGATTTGAACTTGTCCCAGTATGGCACAAAATATAGCGCTGAGTAAACATCAAGTCCTTAATAAATGTTTGTAAACACATAATGAATGAATATGGTCTACAACATAGCAAATTGTCAAAAAGCTGAGATTCAGGAGAAACTTTGGGAGAGAAAAATGTTGCTTCTATATAATAGACTTTTATAAGAAGCATGCAAACTAACTTGTTAACAACACAGCCAAATGATTTTGCTATTTGTAAGAGGGAAAAAAGCAAAAAACAAAACCGTTTGAAATGAGAAAGTCTTCTTCGCAAAAGAAACACAATTAAGATATTTTGTTTTAAAATATTTGATTCCAAAAACCATTAACTTATGTGTAAAAACCTGTTATCAGGAGTTAAAAAGAAAAAGAGATAATGATTTTCTAACAGAATGAAGTGCTATTTCTAACACAGTAGGTACTCAATAAATGTTGGCTGAATGTATCAATCAGTTGATTGAAGCATTGAGAGAGAAATACATCACAAAATTTCCTGACTCTATAATGTTCTCCTTTCCACCAGTCATGATTTACTAGTTACATGAAAATGAATAGAGGGCCGGCCCTGTGGCTTAGCGATTAAGTGCGCGCGCTCCGCTGCTGGCGGCCCGGGTTCGGATCCCAGGCGCGCACCGACGCACCGCTTCCCCGGCCATGCTGAGGCCGCGTCCCACATACAGCAACTAGAAGGATGTGCAGCTATGACATACAACTATCTACTGGGGCTTTGGGGGAAAAAATAAATAAATAAAATTAAAACAAAATTTAATTAAAAACAACTAAATAAAAAAAAAGAAAACGAATAGAAAACCTATTTATCAAAGGCTGGCTTTGTGGCAGATATTTACATTTGTTACAAGAGCCATGGGAATGGCAAGTTGCAAGTTGCTTGTGTGTTCAAAATATCCTCTCAAAATGCAGGAAAGTGAACACAAGCGTTGGGGGAAATGAGCAAGGAAGCTGATTTATGTAACTAATTACTCAGATTTCCTTTTACTTTTCCAAAGGCCAAGGTGAAAACCCAGGCTGTGAGTCTAATGACCCATCGTGGAGGCTAAAAGTGGCTTCCAAGACAGTGTCTAAAAGTGAACAGATATGTGATACAAGCACTATCCAGTTAACATGGCGCTGAAATTCCTTGGTCTCCCAGAGAGTTTAAGATAAAGCTTTAAATGGCTTTTCATCGCTATTAATGTTGTCCTAACATTTAGGATAACATTTGAGGAAGGAAATAATAAACTTATGCTCATTCTACATTGCCACAATGAGTGCTTTTCCTTCCTATTTTAAAAATTGCTCCATCTACACACTTCCATTTGTTTCTGGATATCAAGTTGTTGTTTCAGTCTTACAGAGCACCCGGAAGGTGCTAGTGAGAAACTGAAACAGTTTCTAAGAAAAGATTGGCTATTGAATGATGGAATCTGAAATTAAGAAAGAAATAATGTGCATTTTCCAGAGTGTAAGAAAATGACAAGGAAACTTTAAAACAGAAAAAATCCGTACATATTCATTCAACAATTTTTTTTTCTTGAGGACTTCCCAGGTTCAAGATGTGCTAATAGGACCACATGAGTTAGGAATTGTGTTAGGCTGCCATTAACAGAGACCCAGAAAAGCAGTGGATTAAATGAGGTAAAGGTTTATTTTCTCTCACATTAATGAAATTGGAAAGTAGGCAGTCGAGAGCTGGTGTGACCTCCACTAGCTCATCAGGGTGTTGCCTTCTTCTCTTTCTATTCTACCATTCTTAGCAAAGCAATGTTGCTTAAAAGTAAATTCAGGCGAGGATGTGGAGAAATAGGAACCTTCTTGCATTGCTGTGGGAATGTAGGCCACTTTGGAAGAGGATGCAGCCGCTTTGGAAAATGGTCTGGCAGTTCCTCAAATGATTAAATATAATTACCATATAACAAAGCCGTTGTACTCCTACATATATATCCAAGAGATATGAAAACCTATGTCCACACAAAAGCTTACACACAAATGTCCATAGCAGCATTATTCAAAATAGGCAAAAGGTGGAAACAATCCAACTGTCCATCAGTGGATGAATGAATAAACAAAATGTGGTATATCCATATAATAGACTGTCATTGAGCCATGAAAAGGAATGAAGTACTGAGACATGCTGAAACTTGGATGAACCTTGAAAACATTATGCTAAGTGGAAGAAGCCTGCCACATAAGTCCATATATTATATAATTCCATTTTTATGAAAGTGTAGGATGGGAAATCTATAGAGACAGAAAATAGATTAGTGATTGCTCAGGCCTGGAGAGATATGTGTCTCTCAACACATAAATACATACATATAAGTGTATATATTGACATTCATATACAAACAATTTACCTACATACAATAAAATACATTTTAGTGGACTGTTGATATATATTTTTAATATATATTTTTAATGTTCTGAATGCTCCTTATGCTCTCAGCTAACATGAGCAAGTGAGGCAGAATCGCCTTCTTCCTCTTGGTGATTGGGCACCACAATGCAAATGAGTGCTCTACCATTCATCCAGACAGATATTTATTTATAGTTTCCTACAGCTCTGAGATCCTTTTATTTTCTGACTCATCTTTGACAGCATCATCCGTACTCATGGTACCTGTCCTAGTATAATATGCTAAGATAGAGCTTAAGCTATTATTATTATTAATGTATTTAATAAGACTTGTACATATAAATCTCTCCAAAGCTCAGCTCATTAGTAAGAAAAAAAATCACTTTTCCTTCAGAGTTGCTGGGAGATTAAAATTAGATAGTCTATAAGAATAAACTTTGAAAAACTATTTTAAAAATTATTATTAAATTTATTGTCTGATTTTTATTAGTGACAGAAGTTTAAAGAAAGGTTAAGCTAAATTTTATTGGCAAAAATAAAATCATTTATTTCCTATATTGTGTATTACTTAAACTAGAACTAGAATTAGATGTAATGTGCCCAAGAACATGGACTAAATATCTTCACCAATCTTGGTTTAATTCTGGTGATCAGTTGTGCTCTCTACATAGTAAAACAAAGTTTCTGTTACACTCTTAGCAATATTAGTTATATCTTTAAGCAAATTTCTGTGCACATGTGAAAATAGAACAAATGTTTAATTAATAGCATTATCTTTTGTTAATTAAAATTAACTTCCTTTCCCACAAAATTAAGGCTACAATGAAGAGAGGAGGCTTATTTTACACTAAGGAGAAAGGTAATTATTTTCATTGCCACACCAGCTTAGATTTCTGTATAAGCTCCCCACCCCTCCACCCCCAGTATCATCCACTGAAATTTCTGCAAGAAAAATGCTGGTGATAGCAGCAAAAAGGGACATCTTACTCACTGCAGGTGGAGAATTTTGTCTGTCATGAGCTGTCTAGTATAATCCTGCTTCTGGCCAGGAACTGTGCTGGAGTTTGGGTAAACCTTAGTCCAGAGTTCATATGCCCTGGTCTTGGCAGACATAGGGCTAATGACCCCTCAAAGGGTAATTGTCCAGTAAAGAAGAGAACTTAACTGGAAGATCAGGATGGAACTCCCTAGGTCTCTGGTATCTCTCTCTCTGTGCAGAGGGACAGTTTAGAAGAATCGCTAAGAACTCAGGTACAGACAGTAAAGGTAATTCAGGTGAAGCGTGGGCCAAACATTTGGTTTAATCATGGCTTAAGAGGCTGAATGAAGGCTGTAACCCATGTTCCTAACTCCTAATCAGAGGCACTTTTCCCTTTCTACTTTTAACTCCATCACTAACTTGCTTTAGCAGACACTGTTAATCATTTCCCAATATTTATTCCCCCTTTTTTCTACAGTAATATAAATTTCAGCTGAGCACATTGTTGCCCAGCCAAAGACTAGCTTCCTTTGCTGCAAGGTGTGACCATGTGACTAGTTTCTGGCCAAAAGGATGTGACTAGGAGACATGCATGTAACTTTTGGATCATGCCCTCGAAAGAAACACACCTTCGCCTTCCCGCTTTCCCACTGGTTGGATCACCTTTGGCCATGCAAGTGGGGACAATAATTTGGGGATTGCAAGGAGCCTGGATTCCTGACCACCTGATCTGCTGTACTACCCTGGTCGTCCTGCATGGATTGTTTTGTAAGAAGGAAATAAAATTCATTATTGTTTGAGCCACTATATTTTTGGATATTATTATAGCCCAGCATTTATCCTGATTAATCTATCTGCCCCCTGATGTTGGATTAGATATTCATTTCTCATGAAGTTTATATCCTAAAACAATGATTTTCAGTCTGTGAGTCACAGGACCATGACAACCTTTGGTAC